CTGTTTATATAAAGCATACAAAGCATATACATCGACAAGGAACCGCAAAACTCAAAGTTTAAACTTCGTGACCGAATGACATAAAACTGACATGTCAACTCTAGCATTTTCGTCCTTGGTCGCGTAATTTTGAAAACGGGTGTAAGGATTCTCCAAGTATGCTTCAGATCAGATTTGGCAGATTCAAGTTTCATTGCAAAGTAACGCTTTTTTTCGATTTTGAGAAGATGATTCAATTTGTTCCTATATGATTTAAATTTTTGTTCATTGGATGAATTCCTTCCTTTTAAGAACTTTTTATACAATTTGTTTTTAAATGTAATTGATTTAATCAATCCTTTTGATAACCAAGGTTTACGAGCTCGCGTTTTCCTTATTTTTCTTTTTTTGAGTGGAAACGTTTTGTCGTAAAGGTCATTAAACTTATTAAGAAAAATATTATAGGCAATATTCGAATCAGTGGATTCATAAACTGTTTGCCAATTGAGGGAACCCAAGTTAACTTTAAATTTGCCAATGTTTTCTTTCTCTATCAGCCTAGAAGTGGAATATTTGTTTGGGGATACATGACTCTTGCTGTTAGGTCTGAAATATGAAATATAGGTAAGTGGTCAGAAATATCAGTAATTAAAATGCCAGAATCGGCAGAATGTTCATAATTGTTTGTAAAGCAGTTGTCTATAAGTGTTGCTGTATAACTGGTAATCCTGGTGGGTCGAAAGATAGTTGGACAATAAGAATACGAAGACATAATTTCAAAAAAATCGCTGGTTATCGAGTATTCTTCCATATTTAAAAGATTAATGTTAAAATCACCCATAAGATAATTTAATTTATTCGACTTATTAAGGTAATTAAGGGTTTTGTCAAGATAATCATTAAACAAACTTACGCCTGCATTAGGAGGCCTATAGATTATACCAGTTACAACCTTATGGTTGTTTATTAAAAATTCAATAAATAATGACTGGTATATGTTATCGTCATTAATGTCAAGATCAGTTAATTCAACGAAATCAATGTTATTTCTAATATAAAGAGCAACGCCTCCGCCCTGTCTGTTAATACGGTTACATGTTATTAATTTATAATTATCAAGCTTACACTGAGCTATGTTAGTAGGTGTCAGCCAAGTCACAGAGACACCAATTATCAAAAAAGGAAACTGTAACAAATTAAGGTAATTTGTAAATTTATCAAAATTATGCGGGAGGCTACAAGCATTGAAATGAATAAGTGAGAATTGATCGAATTTGTTAGAGTGTTCAGAAACAAAGGTATCCTCAAGAAGGTAATTATTGTTGTTTGAAATAGACGAGTTAAAGAAATGCTCATCAGAGTCCAAATTGTTGATATTTGTTAAGGTTTCGGAAATTGGATTAAATATTAAGTCTTTAAAGGGATCAATATTAAATGTAAATTCACTATTCGATTCGCGGAGAGCCAACAAGAATTCTTCGCCATTATCAAAGTGGTTGAATGGAAAAATAGAGGAGAGACACGGTGAACAAAGCCAGTCTATTTAACGGCTGTCTTCGCTGTTTTAAAATTCAGGCCAGAACAATTCATATGGAACCATGCCAGGCGGTGATCGCACTACGACCGCAATGCATCATGAGTAAAATAAAAAATTCACTCTTTAGCGTTCTGACGTTCGAGGTGAAAACACTGTGCACGGCCGAGCGATGGGTATATAAAATTGTCTATTGCCCTTCTTGAAAGAATCAACAGTGGCAGTACATGTCAAAGAACTTCGGGAAAAGTTTGTGCAGTCGATGCATCCTGCTGACTGCACAAAGCGTTGGCTGTGAGTTTCAAATGTTTGGCGATGATCGCAAGTATGTTTGTTTTAATTTATTTATATGTTTACTTATTGGTTTGTGCAGTGTTTCAATCGCTAAACTTATGTATATTCTATTTACTTTATTGTTCTTTATATGACTGTATTGTTATTATAATTATTATGCAAATGTTTCAGGGTTGTGGACATACGGTAAAAGTATGCATAGACACGGAAACTTTTCTGCAATATTATATTATTTAATACATATACAATATGCAAGCTACTGTAAAATTCCATGTAATTTTAGTTATGCTTTAATAGAATTTGCCCATCATTTTAGTACTTCCAATGCCATCATCGGTCACAATTTCTATAGTTTGATTACACAATCTTACCTAAAAACTATGGGATGAAAATCATAATCTTCACATATTTTGTATGCCATGCCAATTCAATCTTTGGTATGATCACAAATATTGTTGAGGGGTAGGGGATAAATGTTGAGGGGTAGGGGATAATAATGTGACTGAGGTGCTGTTTATATTATCTTGGGTAATAGGGACACTCTCTACCCTCCGAGCTACGGAGAGGCAAAATTATATTCATTATATAACATTTAAACACAAGTGTTTATATGGAAAGTTTTCAACTCGTCTGGGCTGGTAGGGTCACCCTGGCAGTAGGGACACCCTGTTTACAAAACAGGGTTACCCTTGTACGAGGGGCAACTTTTGTCCATGTGTTTACATGTTTGTCTCGGCTTCCATGGAGTCACAATCTCGTACTTAGAGCCATTCTCGTAGGAAGAGATTAAATGTGCAGTAAAGTTGTCTCGGGTGGGGATTGGGTGATTGTATATGCTTTATAAACAGCACAAGTGTAGTGGGTTTACAGTGTTTTAACAGTTTTTCTACATAACTCACAGCAGCATTCTTAGAACTTCCATCCATGCCAGCCCAGTTTGTGTTTATAGGGAGAAAGTTTTTTCAGATTGGGAACCAGGTCAGCCTGGCTGTTCAAATATATAATTATGCAAAGTAGTTCATACCAATAATTAATACACTGTGTGCAACTATTGACATGGGTGTCCTGCTTTTAATGGGATGGCCTGGGTGGGGTAAAATTTACACAGAACTATTATTTTCAACATTGACTTGGTGAATGCCTGGGTATAATGCTGTACACTATTTGTGTGAGACACTATCTGTATTATGCCTGTACATGTATCTGTGTTATATTTACATCCGCAGGAAGGCATTCTGCAGCAATGTGGACTACAGTATGCATGTCATGTTTCAGGTGCTATTTAAAGCTACAAACAAATGGTATGGGTAACTTGGTGGAAATGGCAAAAATTTTAATACATCTAAAATTAACCATGGAAAAGTTTACTGAGTCATTGCCAGTTGCTCCAACTGACTATAATACAAGAAACAGTTCCAACAAGCACAAATGGTTTTTCACCACCAGACAGTCATTGATCCTGTCAAATATGAAACAGTCCCATTATTAAAGTCTGTTCTTCGCCTCTTCGGTTGTCCAACAGTCTGCCATTGGTCTTGCTCATTTTGACACACATTATTTTTTCCATTTGAAAATGTTTTTTTACTTCTCTTTTGCGTTTATTATTTCTTTGCCGCTTTGTTTTTTGTTTGCCTGGCGTATGGGACTTTGGGATGCACGAACGCTCCCCCAAAATAGCGGGAGAACATGAACTCTGGACAAGAAGACCTGAAATTAGCAAAGGAAATATCATGATTTAAAAGCCCCAAAAAGATACAATATTGAGGGGCGCCAAGGGGCGCCATTTAATATGGTCACAAATAATGATCATAGATTATGCCAATTGCAATTTTAAATGTGATGTGTAAACGGTTAACCTGTGACATGAAAAAGTAAACAGACCAGTGTATTTGGGAAAAATACACGAGCTTACAATCAAATGATATTTTTTATCGAATTCCAAAAATTATCGATTTGAAAAGTAACACAGCATAACAATATTACATGCAACTTCCCTTTTAAGAAAAAACAAAAAGTTTAAACTTTAAAACGTGGCAGAAAATAGAGCGCCAACATACCTTTCATCGTGCTCGAAATCCGCCATCTTGAAGAAAATATCCAAAATAATGCATTGCGGTCGTAGTGCGATCACCGCCTGGAATCATGCTAGACAATGGTTGCATTGTGTCGCGTGGTGATTAGCATTAATGAGCTTGTTGCATTTGAGACATACACAGTTATTCATATGTAAACACACAATAATAAAGTAATAATAATAATTAAAAAAAAAAAAAAATGGGAGAAAAAAATACTAAGTCATCTATACACCTGCATAAGCCAAACATAAAATGTAAATATATACGGCTTATACGAAAAAGATCATGAGTTCCGAATTACGCCATTAATTA